ATCTGTTGCACCTTTGTTTACAAACAAATGATGATGAGTTGTCAGTGACTCGCGCTTATTGCTGCTTACAAAAACGAAAACGACATAAGAGCCTTTTTATTTAAATTTAAATTTAAAAGCTCCTAGGTACAAACATTTCAATGAAATACCAGAGAGGAGAATAACATCATGCAGGGGAATCAAGGGAAAGCAAATCTGAAGACCTCTTGGGATGATTCTAACAAATTCTCAAAGATATCCAATGAGGAGTTATTTTTTAGAAACGAAGATATTATCTTCATAGGGCGACTAGAAGTCACCTAAGTAAAACAAGCAATTGTAGCGTTCAGAATCATAAGGGCCTTACTGCGATGATCGAATCTCTTTATCGCATTACCACAGTTCAGTGAATGAATTTTACGAAATTATTACAATCCAGTGTAGCAAACGGTTGTATTAGCTAGCAAAACCAACATCAAACGTACCGAGAAATGTTAATCCAGCCAAGTTATTCACAAAAGAGAAACTCCATGAAGAGAATCGATCATCGCAGTTAGGCCCTTTGAATTCTGAACGCCAGAATTAAAAGAAATGCTACCGAATATAAAAATTGTTTTCGTTAAAAAATAACAGGATAGTCGCCGACTAACCTTGACTAAACACGACTTTGGCGCGCAAGCCATTTAAAATTTATCGTTTATTTTTTTCATGTTTACCAGGGGCGCAAGCTACATCAAATTTATCGATTTTGATCTACTTTCATCCGAACGTGTTTATTAGGGGCGGTAGCAATATAAAATTTTAGGATTTTAATCATTTTTTTCCTAAACATGCTAACTAGGGGCGTAGGCCATTTTAAATTTAACATTTAAAAAAAAAATCATGAACCACGAGTGCTAGCCATTTTAATTTTTTTTTCATTTTTTCCTAAACATGTTGACCAGGGACGCAATTCATTTCAAATTTAACATATTTTCTATGAATTTCTGAATTTGCTTACCAGGGGCGCTAGCCAATTCGAATTGAAAGATTTAATCAATTTTTTCCTTAGCATGTTTACCAGAGGCACGCCATCATTTCATATTTAACGATTTTTCAATTTTCACCTCAACATGTATAACATTTATAACCCGAATAGGTTGTTAGGCACTCCTTTTGGTTATCGTTTATGAGGGTGTTTCAAAGTAATTTACATCTATTCAACCCTCTGTGTGACCCAACCCGTGCAATGTATTTAATATTGAGAACCTTCCCAACAAACAATTTTAGCTGCAGCTTAGCTTATACAGGCAAAAATTAGCTGCATAAAGCAAATTTTGGCTGTATAAGCTAATCTGCAGCTAAAATTGTTTGTTGGGTTGTGTGCTTTATCATAAGTGATCACGGTTCTGGCAATCCTCACATGACTATGCTTCTCAACGACGACGACTACGATCTAGCCGGTTTAAAATAGGTTTTATACAAGAATAGATCGCAGTATACTTACAGTTTTCGACGTTCCCATGTACTCCTTGTTAACCTTCAATCCTACTTCTTTCTCTTCTTGTGTTGTGTTTCTGGATATGCCATCATCCTTCTGACACAAGATAATAGATCCTCGCTCCGGAATGTCTTCAAAACTGGGGGGATTAAAATCGCTTCTCGTGCACAACCCTTCCAGATGACAGTCCGCTCAGCATCCGAAAGAGCGCTCGGTCCGTAATACATTTGACATGGTTTGTAATGTGACATAGAAAACAACAAGAAGAGAAAACCGTAACATTAGCAATAAAACAAAGAAAATAATACAAGCGGAACACAAAGACCCAAGCGACACCGACAGACTCTCTTCATCGATCCCCTCTCTGCATTCCCACGGCAAAGAAAAGACATTTTCAGCCATTTGCAGCATTTAGTTCGATATGTGCAGCTATTAACTATCTAGGGCATTAAATGGAAAACACGAAAAGAAACGGTTTTTTAGCAAAGTTATTAACAAAGGAGCAAATCGATCAAGAGACTCAATAAATGTCACCTAGGACCCCACGCTCAGCTTGTATAAACAATATCACATCATTAGCCCATTTCCGTATCATTTTGGTAATCATACAGTCATCGAAATGAAGGGCTAGTACAACAATTTGGGAAAACTTAATTATGTGATATTGTCACTGTAGCACTTAGCTTTAGGTCCCTACAATGGCTATCCAATAACTCGTAACTAAAACTAAATTTTTAATCAAATCATAAAATTTTAACTGTCGTTAACGAAAAAAATAAATAAATAAAAACAATGGAAAAAATTTACTCAATCAAAACTTTTCCTAAGACCTAAGAAACGACCGACCAGGTGCTGGAAGTATCTATAATAAAGCTAAACTAACGTAAGTCGAAGCGAAGCATTTTTTGTATAAACGCTTGTATGAAAAAGTCTTTCGTTTCGACTTGCAAAATAAGGCCCCCGGTTCGATATTAGTGAAGCGCTTCAATTCTCGTCTTAACAAACCATAGTGGATTTTAATAATATTCAATTATAGGTATATTATTTCTGTTTTTTACAACTAAAACTGAATTTTGCAAAAAAAAAAAATACGCTCGACTATAACTGTCGAACCCGTAATTTTTTTTTTTCTAAAACTTTGTTTGTATCATTTTACAAATGCGCTCTACATGCGGGTCTAAGAATAATCAGTTAAAAACTGATCTTAGCTAACCAAACACCATTGTGGTAATGCTCTTCGGCAGAGGAACTTTGCCATTAGCGCGAAGCATTTTAAGTCCACTGATGAAGGCGCCGAAAAAAGATGTATGAGTAAAAATAGGTTTGGTATCTTCCAATAATCTGTTGTATCGCCCGATCATTAGTTAAAAAAGAGCAAGTAGGTATTCAGTTTTGTTGGAATTTGTTTTAATTTATGGCACGAAGAGGTTTTTTTACTGTCGGACAGTTTTGGGCCGAAGGGTATCAGGTCTCAGGTAGATAATATGGTTGTATGAACGAACAAAACTTTTATAAAAAATTAGGTGGTTTATTTTTCCGGAAAATTTTAGTTGAGGGCTTTGGATTTTCCCGAACATCACGTATTTTGAAAATTCATCGTAGATTGAAAAATTAGTTGGTAAATTATAATGAAATTATCTCAAAAATCTGTATAAAACATAAAATGAGCTTTGCATGAAAATTTTAAAAAATTGCATAGAAAACATGTTTGCTCATATAATCATAAAATCTGCCTGTGAGCAAAATTTCGTATAATTCTGAAACCCTTCGGCCAATTTTGCCCAATAATAATAAAAAAAATCCTCTCGACACAAATATCAAAATAATTGTGTAAAGATATTTTTTTTTTCAAGCCAATCTTTACGCGCAATAAGAGTTTCTTAGAAGAATACATAAAAAAGCAACATACCTGATTTCAAATAAGGGTTAGTAATCATTATTTTGAAAACATGTTTCATAACCACCTTGAACGAAAATGTTGGCTTGTTCCAAACACTACTACCTTAATGTACTCCAGAATGGTTTTATGTTTTTTGGCTTCATTTAATCCAGATTTAACCTAAAATGGAATGATTTAGATGAATTAAAATCCATTTAATGATTTAGTAGCATAAGTGATTGTATAATAGCTATTCAAGCTCAAGGAATGCCAAGCTTGGCGTTGTTGGTCAACTTTGCATGATTCGGCTAGGTACTGCCCCGTAATCTGTTCATATTCGTGAGACAGCATTATCTCGTTGTCCACCTGAGCACCGACGTAGGTCAGCATATCCGTCTTCGGTCCATTCAACTGATACTACACGTCGTGTTCATGGTGGATGACCTGGTTGCGAACGGTGTAACCGGGAACTGTTCCCACGTTGTAACAATCGTTCCAGCAGGAGAGCACTTTTTGATTCAATTCGCAGCACTGACACTTTACTTTTTCTAGAAAATATCATTAAATATCTTCTTTAGAAGTAGCTTGATCTCGTAGAGGCAACATTTTTTCAAAGTAATCAGTTATGACATTATAGTTGCTCTTACGTTGCTGTGATTCTCGTGGAACAGATGCTAAAAGAGTGAAGAGTAAGTTCATGTCTTTGTTTGCTAGGTTTGGGCTACCAGATGTTATTGTGACTGATGGTGGACCGCCGTTTAACTCTAGATATCTCATAGATTTCTGGGAAAAACAAGGCATCAAGGTCTTGAAAAGTCCGCCATATCACCCTTCGAGTAATGGCCAAGCCGAAAGAATGGTTCGTGATGTTAAAGAAGTGTTGAAGAAGTTTTTGCTCGATCCACAAATGAAAAGTTTTGATCTTGAAGATCAAGTCTCTTGTTTCTTGTTTAACTATCGCAACACTTGTACTGAAGATTCAAGGTTTCCTTCTGAAAAACTGTTTAACTTTAAAACGCTGTCCAGACTGGAGAGTTATAACATGTTATAACGGTTGTCAAAGAATTGCAACACAGAAACCACCATCAAGATAGCGCTATAACATGTTATAACTCTGTAGTCTGAACGTACTATAAACCGAAAACGATACTAGATTTAGTCAACCATAAAAACAGCATTTAAGGAGACTACATACATGCGCCTATAAAACCACATGCAGCTGGTACTTACCAAGTTCATGACAGCCACTTATGCTCAGCACCCCGGAACTACTCTTAGCCACACCTCCACTCAGCCAGATGGCACAGCCATTTTTGTTTTTGGAAGGTGTTTTTCGATGTCCTTTAATTATATATCCTCATCTTCTACATTTTATTGATAAGCTCTTGTTTTTTCTTTCTCTCTCACCAATGTCACAGCAACTGATTGGTGACAATCCGGACGAGGAGCAAATCGTAGCCGAGCTCCAGAGTCGACTCCACGACTCACTGAACAACAAGAACCTGAAGCAATATGTTAAAGCATTTCAAAAGTGTGTAGAACTACATAATGTTCAACGGTGAGGTGATAAAGTATATTTCTCATTCGATTTTCCAGCCGTGTTTGAAAAACTGAAAGTTGTGTTTGGAAAACTGTAAGATTGATCTACTGTTGATTACCGGTGTCATGAGCCCGTACCCCGGGGTTGTCGAAAATATGTTGAGAGACCTGAACAAAGAAAAGGTCACTCTGCTGAAGGTCGAGCGTGCTGGTGACGTTCTGGCGGATGCTGTAAGTTGCGTTCATAATGCAGGTTTGCTTTGAATACTGAAATTATGGTTTACTTCTACATAGATCGCCAAAGTGGCTCAGTCGATTTTGCTTTTCTGCAAGGGCCAAGGTCTGCTGACTTCGGTTGTCTTGCCCGGAGTGGACCGCAACAGGGCGTTCTCAACCAGCTCGGGTGGTTCAAGTGATGGAACCCCAGGCGGACGACGCCTATCCCGTGGAATGTCCATGGAAGACTACGATAAGCCCAATATCAGACGACTCAGCATTACCATTAATGAACAACTACCACCGATCAAGAAGTAAACCGGTGGAGCATTGATCAAAATCGTAGTGACTATTTCTACCTTGATTAACAAGTATATTTTATCGAGAAAAGAGAACGAGCAGTTCGAGGGAATAAAGTAGACAAACACAAACATACATGCAAATTACACGTACCCACATGCAGGTAAAAGCCACAAACAACATATCAACTTTTATAGATGAACGTATTTGATATCAACTTTTATAGATGTACGTATTTTTTTATCAAGTCGGTAAATGTAACAACAATGAAGTACACCGTAGACACAGTTCATATAACCAAACAACAAACTAGTTTGAGTAAAGTAATATTAAAGGGAAAACCTGTAAACCGACTATTCTAAAGCTAAGCAAGAAAACAGTATAAATATACACTCTTTGAAATGAAACAGCAGAGTAACTTTTGTAACAGCCACTCATCATTGCCCCCAAAAATCCAGAGTCTACCAAAAATGAAACACAACAAACTTAAAGCAGCCTGAAACTAATCCCACGAAGCCCAACAACACAAACGAAAAAAAATTAAAACTTTATTCGATTAGGATTTATTTTTTGATTATCAGAGTCTATATACCATCTTCTTATACCAACTACTGATGAAGTAAATTTGAAAAAGCTAATGATAATTACCGATTAGACGAGAAAAATTGCTAGAGTAAAATCGTAGGGTCGTTAGAAGCTATACACTCATTAAAATGATAACAAAACAAAGAAATTATACCTATATATAGAGTTAAGCGACTCAAAACCAACAAAAAAGCCAAAAACTAAAGACCCAAAGAGGAAAAGGATAAGTGCAGTTCTGGCTTCAGTAATCAAAATTCAACAAACAGCATTGGTAGAAAAAAAAATTGGGCTCACCTGCTATTGTATTGCACCTTTAAGAAAGTGATTAAATCACATCAAATTGGCTAGAGTTTAAAAATCCACTTGAAAAAATAAATTCGAACAAAACAAATCTCACCCAAAAATGCTAAAATAATATAAAAATTTGTTGCGTTGTTACTCGCCAGCACGAGTGAAGTAAATATTTAAATTTTATGGGTTTTGATCGGTTATACTGTCGTAAGTAAATTCAATGATAAAAAATAAACTAATTTAAACGGTATTACTAGTGAGAGTGATTGGTGTTTCCTGAGGCTTTGCAGATCATCACATCCATGAGTTTGATGGAGACGGTCAATTTCAAAACACTTCGTGGGATTCGTCGGGTGTTGAAGATTTATCTGGTGAGAAAGTTATTTTGAAATGGATACAATTTGACATAACATTACTGCCCTCATCCATACCTTCGCAATCCAACTTAGCCTCGAGGTAGTCCATTTCTAGGGCAGCAAGATTTTTCCGTACTTCGTTGAACATCGCCTTCTCCATGCCCTCGTTCACGAACCAGTGCGAGCTTCAAGTAGGTACATCATATCGAACTTCTGCATCAGCCTGGCCCACGCTTCTCAAATGGCCGAATTTGACGCCAGCATAGAAACCCCAAAGTGGACTAGCACCAGATCTCCATCCGCAAAATTAACCGAAAATTTGATTGATACCGACCTGTAGAAAAAGGAGTTCATGTTCATGGCGCGCTTTCAAAAAAAAATTACAGCAAAGGTCTCAGTCATCTCTAACCTTGAACCCGGTGGGATGTCTATCGACGAAGCGGAGCATGCGCTTGTACTTCATATCGGCAATGGCGGCGTTGACATCATTTGGCACTACATCACCGCGGTACAGCAAACACATGCCAAGTACCTACTTGCCGGTTTTTAGGTTACACTTTACCATCTGGTTGTTGGCTTCGAACAGGTTCGATACGGTCATAGCTGGGAACGATAAAAAATGTGGTCAGTTTACTGTCCGAGGTGTTTATTCCATCGCCTTTATTCTATATTTTATATAGAATTTCTTTATTTATATTTTTTCTTAACTCGATATTGAAGGGACTATCGAATTATAGAATTATTGACTTACACAATAATAAACAAAAATGTATCGTCTTAAGTTTCATTAATAATATCGAATTACTCCGTTTACAGGAATATCTGCCCATATTTATTCATATGAATTCTAAAAACGGTTTAAGGAAACATTTAGCTAATTTATAATAAACATAAAGCCAATATGCATAATACATGTAATAGAGCTGCCAGTTCTTCAAATTTATTTTGTCAAGATATCAAAGGTACTCAAAACATTTTCAAATCTAAATAGATTAAAAGCTACGCTAAATCGCAACCCTCCTGCTAGACGCATCCCCGAGCAAAGGATTATACTAAATTGATAACAAGTTCTAATACCCGGTTATCAAGATATTATTATGGTTGACTGTCACGCATAGTCAATTCCCTTGCGTTTGACGTTTACACACTATCGCCATCTGTTCAGCAAACTACCCACCACAGTGTATTCAACAGATGGCGGTAATGTTTTAGCGACGATGTTTTACAATGAGAAATATTCAATGTGGTATGTATGTTTGTCTGTGCACTTAGTATAAAAGTGTTTAATGGATGGTTAGTATAAAATGCATTTTTTTCTGAAGCATATCTGGCCTTTATCTATGTTGAGCGTGGTTTAGGTTTTCCTTTCCTTTATTTAACGTCGCTCTCTGTTCCGCAATCTAGTGCCAATCACCGACGGACATCGATTGCCATACATTGACGGCAATCGAATGTGCAGGAAGGCAGCTTCCACTCCTGCGTAGTATATCGCACCCATTCAACACACACATGGGCCAGGACCAACGGCTTTACTTCCTTTCCGACTTCCTTTTTTTCACATTGACCATTACTTCATCTTCTCGGATAGTCTCAGTTCGATTGAGGCTATTCGGTCGATGAAACAAGGTAGGCACTCATCTTATTTCCTTTCAAAGGTAAGGGAGCCGATGAGTTCGAGGTCGAAAGATCATATCAAGAACAACATGTGAAAAGGGTATATCAACTTTTTGTAAACAAACCTTCTCATGCCTTTTTCTCGCTACCCATATGATACCCAAGCAAACCACCAATATCACCCGATAGGGGAAACTTTCCTCTTACCTCGGTTGGCGAGAAAATGGTTTACAACGGTTTTTTTTTTACAAAAAGCTTGTATGGCCTTTTCACATGTGGCTCTTGATATATGATTACCTTTGTATGGGTCCCCTCACATTGCTCAATCCCAGGCAATGAGAAGGCAGACTCTCTCGCAAAAGTGGGCGCAAAACAAGGCGAGATATATGATAGAAGAATTTCACAAGAAGGATTTTTTGATCATTAGTACGTCAGAGTTCTCTTCTAAGTTGGCAAAACGATTGAACAAGTAACTCTCTTGGACCGTGGTTACTTTCAATTAATCCAAATGTTTCTTCGAGAGCGTGGTTCTAAGGTCTGGATGTAAGTCGGGGATTCATTCGCGTGATGTCAAGACTTATGTCTTATGTCCAACTACTCGCTAGACACACATCTGTACAGAATAAACCTCGTTGACAGCAATATATGTAGGTGCAGAACCGGTTATGATGGCATCGATCACGCAGTTTGGTATTGCCGGGGTAATGTCGCCTCCAGAGCACGACTATTGAATACCCTAGTGGCCCGAGGTAGACAACCCTTCCGTGAAGTAAAAGATGTACACTGAAGTCTTTTTTTACACGGTTTTTTTAACGCGGTTTTTTTTTTACACGGTTATTTTTACACGGTTTTCCACGATTTACACGGTACGTTTTTAACGATATCTCGACAACGATACAACCTATCGACTTGATTCCAATCACATTATCCGTTTCAAGCTATAGGTAATCGAATGGCATACTTAGAAAAAAATCACAATTTTTGGTGTAAATACAGAAATTTTTAAAATATGTCTGTATGGACCATATCATGCTTTAATTACAAATGGCATCAAAATCCGATTTTTTTAAAACATTTAAGCATGCGAAAAATCAAAATCTCGTAGGTTTTTTTTTACACGGTTTTTTTTACAAGGTTTTTTTTTACACGGTACGTATCCCCCGTGTAAAAAAAGACCTGAGTGTATTGGGAACCCATGATCTTCCCTACATGCAGGCGATCTACGAATTCCTTTGTTTGTCTGATGTAAGAATTTTATTTGACCGTCCCCTCCTTTCCACACATTTTCCAGCCATTGTGTCCCAGTCTTATTATCCACCTGTTTCTGTGATACTTGTTCCTACCCAGCCAGCATTTGGTCAACCGTTCGAGAGTAGTATCTGAAGGAGGCTTCAGAAACCTGTTTCCTACCCAGCTCCTTCCAATCGAAATGGTTAACCATTAACCTCGAGCCCTCGAGATTTATGCTGCTTAAAATTTTAATTAAAAACTACAAAGGACAGCCTTATGGGGTTGTACGCAATGGTGACGTAGGACTATGTAGTCTTATATAATCAATGTTATTTGTTAACTGCAGCAGTGCTTGTGTTTTCTGTAGGAATAGGAATTTGAGCGGGGTTCTCTCTGTTTATACTCTTTAGTATGACGCGCTTGACATAGATGACCCACAGCGACTCACAAAAAGCTACTGATTCCGATTAAAAGCGGTGCAGCTTCTTCCTCCTTCTATGGATGCTATGTGGGCTGAAAGCTCGCTGCTTGCAGGCAGCCTTTCTTTGTGTACTGGAGAACACCACCACTCACCACGCAGTGATTGAATAAACAACGTTTGGTGAAACCGGATGGAATTCAACTTTGAACTCTGAGTTAGGGAAATCGCTTTTGGCAGTCAATCGGTGTTAATTTTAATTATCATAGCAACATTTGCACATTCGTGCAATTTTCAATAGTGACATTTTGAAAAACGGTAAATCCTTAAATTCAGCAGATGCGTAGAAATATATGGTCCAGGGACAGCTGAGTTATTATCGTTCAAAATCTTTCATAATTTTGTTACATGTTCCATTTTCGGTTTTCACAAAGTGTACCTCCAAATAGAAATTACAGTTCTACGTCAAAAATTACGGATTTTTGGCTCCGCAAAGTGTCACACACGACTGAGCCTAGTACATAAATGAACTAGTTAAAAAAAGCATTGACTTAACTAACGCTACCGAGTGGTTCTCAATCGAAATCCACGTAAAGTTTTTAAGTGGACCCTACACGATTACTTT